GTAGTGGTAGTAGTAGTACTGGTAGTAGTAGTAGTAGTAGTAGTAGTAGTCGTAGTAGTGGTAGTAGTGGTAGTAGTAGTAGTAGTAGTAGTAGTAGTGGTGGCAGAGGCAGTGGCAGTGGCGATGGCAGTAGCAGTCGCAGTCGTCAACGTCCTTCTCGTCGTAGTCGATGTCGTACTGTAGTTAGTAAGGTGCCAGTCCAGCAGTCGGGCGAGTACTCATACTAGTACAGTCGAAGCAGCGGCAACAGTTGTGCTGGTCGTTGTCGTTGCAGTTGTAATGGTAAGCTGTAACACCATTTCGGTACTTGCCTTGGTCGTTCCTTTTAGGATCTAGCCTCGCATAGGTCATCCGACAAAATGCACTTCAGTTCAGGGCCTATCTGGGATCTAACGTTTTCAAGACAGAAACCCTAAATCCCGAAACGCCAAACAGAAACCCTAAATCCGACTGCCACCAGACGCAGGGGCTGAACCAGGCTAGGTTCTTATGCGTTGGAAGTATAAGGGGAGACTTTCGGATTCTTAGCTAGAGATAGTTGAGGGCATGAGTCTCAATGATGGGCGCCAATCCGCTAATCAGCACAGGCAGATAGATAGTGACCGCCGTAAAATAGGAAGATAGGGAGACCTACATCCTCCAGTTTCCTCTGGTGCAAGACCCTGATCCTTCGGCACCAACGATGAGTGGATACTCGCGCTCTGTGTCTTCGCTTGAACCCGATTTAGGACAACCCTCACGGGTACCTTGTTGTTGACTCTGGGCTTGTTGCTCAAAGACTGTTTTTTGATGGGGGGACCCAGGAAACACACGAAACAACACCGTGCTTGCCCGAATCGCAGCCGGGGAGCCACTCGCACTCTGTGTAGGTGGTCCCATGCCTGACAAAGCTGGCTGCTCACAACCGCACACATTCGACTGAGCGGCACAACTTCAGGGAACACATTCAACATAATGCCCTAAACCCTAAATCCTAAAACTAAAACCCTGAACCCTAAACCCCAAACCCTGAAACCTAAAACCTAAATCCTAAAACCTACACCCCAAACCCTAAAACCCTAAACAGTGAACCCTAAACCCTAAACCCTAAAACCTAAACCAACAGTTTAACAAAGGAGCCTGATTTAGCAACCCTGGGTCTCGGTACCTGCTCTTCACACACACTCCTCCTACTTTGGAGGGGTGGATTTTCTAGACCTTAGGGTTTAGGGTTTAGGGTTTTGCGGTTTAGGGGTTTATGGTTTTGGATTGAGGGTTTAGGGGTTTAGGGGTTTAGGGTTTTGGGTTTAGGGCTTAGGGCTTCGGGTCTATAGGCAGAAGCAAAACAGCTGTGATGCGTCAATGGCAAGACCTAACCGGATGCGGTGCCAGTGTGCATTACGGTTTAGGGCTTAGGTCTTTCAAGGTTTATAGGGTTTAGGGTAGGCGTTGTTTTCGTTAGGTAATTACGGCTTAGGGCTTGTAGGGTTTGCGGCTTAGGGCGTAATTAAGCCTCACTCTGACTTTCCTGTGTCGTGCATAGCTGGGTACCCGTTCCTCAAATAAAAAACTATGTGACAGAGCGTGATCAAACATAGTAGACTTGGTGGTTGAATTGCACAACTGCTGCTAACGAAGTTTGAAACCCAAGTTTTGAAACCCCAGTCCAAGCATTAAGCACTACATATCCACTATTTAGCACCACAAACGCTCGAAAGTGCCCTTGGGGGCCCGTGGTCCTGGTACAAACTAAACCCTAAACCCTAAACCCCTAAACCCTAAACCCTACCGGACCTCGCCCTTGGCGGTGAGCCAGCAAGCCAGCCTCTGCAAGTCGAAATGAGTCGGGATTTTGGGACCCCCCTGTAGTCTCCATTGTAGTTCCTTTTTTTGGTTTAACCAATTATATATTAAGGATTGTAGAAGGTATCCCCCAAAAGGAACTACAATGGAGACTATAGGCAGGGTTCATGAATCGGGATTTTGGGTTTAGGGTTTAGGGTTGTTTGGGGTTTTGGGGCTCCGCCTTTCTGGGTTTAGGGTTTGGGGGTTTGCGGGTTTAAGCTGAGGTTCGTGGGGTGGCCTGAAGTTGATATAGGGCTGCATGAAACTAGGGACTCATGCAGTACCCCCAACAAGGCAGGATCCTTATTAGAAGGACCCCAAATAAGGTACCCCTTGTTTTCGGAAACCCTCATATAGGGCTGCATGAAATTTTATAGGCTTTAGGGTTTAGGGTTTAGGGACCGGGTGTTTACCGTGTGGGGTGTTCGAAGGTTTCCAAACACGCTTTCTGAAACCCACAACGCTGACCCGTGCCTTCAAGGCATGTGTCCATGATTCGACGATCTCCTGCACGGATGTGGGGTACCATCAAACAACAGCAAAGCATCCGAACACCATAACGACAGCTTCCTAACTACAAAGGGTTATCAGGAGCTTCTATCAGGCTGCCGTTCCGAGGTTCAAGGGTTGTGACTCGAATTCGAACTCTTGTGCTCTTGAGGTTTGCTGCTCCGTAGAGGACCTGTCGCTAAACATCTTGACACTATCATTTGTTTAAGGGCCTCTCACCTAGGGAATCCTGCTACGACTTGTGCTTCAGGGCTCTATTCGGTTCCCTTGTCGAGATCGCACAACCCCCGACCGGTAAAACTTGCTCAAGTACAAGCAGCTCAAATTTGTCTTACCTACGGAAAATCGCATCAAATCCAGGATCTGTCCATCATGTAAGGCATATTGCTTAATCCTAATAAGCTCCGAAGACATGATCGTCACCCACATTTTCCAGCAAACGCGGTGCATGATCGGCGCAAAATCCAACCCTCACACCTGACCTGGGTCACGGGCTGGGGATTTACGCTTTAGGGTTTCGAGTTTAGGGTTTTGGGCTTAACATAGGGAACACTGAAGCAAAGTATTAGGGTATAGGCGCTTCTATGCAGCATCGCAGGTAACCAGCCCCACGGTGCACGAGATCACCAAAATACAAGTGCGAGGGTTTGCGACGAACTGGGAGTTTCCGAAAATAAGGGTACCTTATTTTGGGGTCCTTATAATAAGGATCCTACTATTTAGGGTACTAGATTGGGGTCCCCTATTTTCGGAAACCCCCAACTATGCTCGACATCCGAGCAGCCGCGGAAAATCTCACGGGATAGCCGGTAATCGTGTGCGCAGACAAATCCGCCAGCCCAAAGTACCTGTAGATGACTGCCTGAACCCCCTGAAAGTAGGTAACATGATGGCCCAAAACCTATAAAGGGCGATGATTCGACATACTTTTGGACCATCCGACCAGCAGGGAACTGTACAGTTCAAACCTCCCAGACCCGGTTTTGAGAACGTCAGGAAGGTTTAGGGTTTAGAGCATTGAGCCATGCCTGCAACCAACCCTAAACCCTAAACCCTAAACCTTAAACCCTAAAGCCTGAACCCTAAACCCTAAAACCCTAAAACCCTAAACCCTATAGACCCCAGACCCTAAACCCTAAACCCTAAATACCCCTTTACCCTAAAGTTCGCCTCACCTCGAATCAGCTTTCCGGTTGAGGGCTCGGTAATGTAGGGGCCTTAATGATAATTAGAATAGGGTTTCTTGGGATTAAAGGGTTCCTTAAATTAAAGGGTTCTATAACGGATACTAGAAGGGTTTAGGGTTTAGAGTAGTTAGGATAGGGTTTTGGGGTATATGATACTATACTGTACTGATAGTAAGGAACCCCCCAAACTAGTATAGGTAATTATTAAGGCCCCTATGTTAGAGTACTCCTGGAAAAGGATATCAGGAATTCCACATCCTAAACTCAGCGAAAAACGGACGTAGTTTCAGTAGCCAAGGGTACCCATATAGGTTCCTTTAAGGGCTTCTTAAAGGGTTTAGGATCCCTGTAAATTTAGAGTAGAATGTAGTCTCTCTCTCTATATTAGGAACCCTTGTTATGATTTGGGAAAGTATCCCCCCGTACCAAGACCTAGGACCCTTTGAGGCAGCCATCAACCAAGCCCACCACTTTTTATTCAAACCCTCGGATGCCTAAACCCTAAACCCATTTATAAACCCTAAATCCTAAACCCTAAAACCCTAAACCCTAAAACCTAAACCCCTAAACCCTAAACCCCTAAACCCTAAACCCCTAAACCCCAAACCCCTAAACCCCTTAGACTGGTCCCTGGCCGGCCATACTGGAACCCAGTTAGCATCTCCCGGTCCCTTCAAAGCCTTTTAAGGCCCTGGTGGAAATCCAATTTCTACTATAAACGTACTTAGGAACTCTTGCAGGGATCCTAAAGCCTAAAGCCTTTAAGGAGCCCTTAAAGGACCCTATATAGCTAAATCCGTGGACACCTCATTTCAACACCATATGAAACGCCATAAGCCTCTCAGGAAGCACTCCAAACCACAGAGATCCCCAGTCGAAACTCCCAAGCCAACCCTGCAGCTCTTACTGAGATACCTTGCTTTTGTGGTGTTTTGGGTCTATAGGGGTAGATCATGCTAGTTTGGGGTTTAGGGGTTCACTGTATAACATGATGGTGGAGGCTCAACTTGTTGGGTACCTTAAACTAGGGCCCCAAAAAAGCACATAAGCAAAAAATAGGATAGGGATATCCCATAAAAATCCCCTTATAATGAAGCCCAATAAGGTAGGGATATCCCTATAAACATGCTTATGCTTCTGTTCCTTTTGGGTTCCGAATAAACAAGTGCAGGGTTGTGGCGGCTGCAGAATCGCACACATACCCAGGCTCGACTCTCCAGGCCGTGCCAGACTTCTGGGCCACTCCACATTCTCCCACATGGTCTGTCCTTCTCCCTGGCTTTAAGGTAGGGTTTAGGGTTTAGGGTTTAGGGTTTAGGGTTTAGGGTTTAGGAACCCGAAGCCCAAACCTAGGCCCCGAACAAGCAAAAAGCCTGAACCCACCACGACCCCAAGCTGCCTTTCAATTACCCAACCCTATACCCCAAACCCTAGATAACCACTCTCTAAGCTCTGATCCCTAAAACTAAATAACCACTCTCTAAGCTCTAATCCCTAAGACTAGATAACCACTCTCTAAACTCTAATCCCCAAAACTAGATAACCACTCTCTAAACTCTAATCCCTAAACCTAGATAACCACTCTCTAAACTCTAATCAATCACCGATCCGCACTAGCAGGCTTCGGTTCGGCGACGTCGCCATGTCCCGACCCGAGATTGGGGGGCTGAGGGTTGAGGATTCAGGGATTCGGGCAACATAAGGGCCGTAAAAATGACAATCAGCTTTTGGGGGGGTCATTATAGGATTTAGGGTTTAGATTTATAGTGTAGTCATCAAAAAAAGGACCCCAAGGAATAAGATTGGAAACTATTTGGACCTATCTTATCCTAAAGGCTCTAGCCTAACGCATTAAGTGGAGTGGCCTGGGTGCTCCGGCCATGACCGGCCACGGGAGAAACTAGTCGTGAGGCCAAATAGAGGTTTCCGAAATATAGGAATTTTCACAAACGAAGCTGCCTCAGGGTGTGAGGTTTAGGGTTTATAGGGTTTAGGAGTGAGGGTTTAGGGCCTCCATAAATAGAATTGCTTTCGGGGTATATGGTAGCATAAGAGCTACTAATCATTGCTACCTTCATATTACAAAGTTTCGGGTTGGGGGAATTTGGGGGCATATGACCTTAGGCCTACCAGCCCCGTCTTTGTGCAGGGGTCCTTCTTGAAGCAAGACTTGCTTTCCAGGTCAACATCTAACCATTAAGGCCCCTGTACGCTCCCCTAGAAAACGCTATTAGCAATTCGATAACACCCGACAAAACCCCCAAAAGACCCTCTTCTCGCTAACGGTGTGTACAGGGCCCTAAACTCTAAACCCTAAACCCTAAACCAAACTCTAAACCCTGTATCTTGCGTTCCATACAGGCCCCCTGCTGGTGAAGTCTGGTCAGCTCGGAAGCCCCATTTCGGCCAGGAAGTTTGAAATGCGTCCGGCCACTTGCGCACCCAGGGTTCGAGTTTAGGGTTTAGGGTTTGGGGTTTAGTGTTTCGGGTTTATTTACCTAAAACCACCCAAAATTTGCAAAATCACGGCCCAACACCTATGATTCTACATACTTCTGGGGTCCAGGTAAGGTTCAGGGTCGATAAACAAGGAATTTCTTTAACCCTAAACTCTAAACCCCAAACCCTAAACCCCCCTAAACCCCAAACCCTAAACCCCTAAACCCTAAACCCCAAACCCCTAAACCCTAAAGGCGTTCCTGAACCCGAGGTTCCTCTAAGAGGTTCTTCCAGGGTTTCTACAAGGCGTAGCCGAAACCCTGAGACCCTAAACCCTAAACATAACCCTACTAGGTGTCCAAAGGATCCAACATATAGGTACCGCTAGGGTTTAGGGTTTAGGGAGGATCAAGGGTTAGGGATCAGGATTTAGGGCTTAGCCCCAAGGGTCCAAAGGACCCAATAATTAGGTACTTAAGTTTCGGATAGTAGTTATGTAGGTTACCATTTGGGAGAGTATATGACTAGGTTACCATTTGGGAGAGTATATATGACTATTTGGTACTTGGACCCTTGGGGCGAGGGCTTCTACAAGAGGTCCAGAGGTCTGGTGGTCGAACCACCGAAACAGGAAACCTTCTCACGCTTTGCAGGTGCAGTGGTAGGGTTTACAGGATTTAGGGTTTAGGGTTTGGGGTTTCTAGGATTTGGGGCATAGAGGTTGCGTGATACTGGGTTTCGAGGCTTGGGGCTGATGAGTTTGGAATGTGGAAGCCAGACTGAAGCCCTGAACCCCAAACCCTGAACCCTAAACCCTAACCCCTAAACCCTAAACACGCACTATTGGGAACCATGGGGCAGCTAAATACACCCCCAATGCGGCTGACTACCGAATTCAATAGGGCCTTAGGGTTTACCTTCAGCTACCCAAAGCTACTTGTTTGTAGGGTCGCTATAAATTCTATATTAGGGTTTACAATAAGAACCTACAAAAAAGTAGGTTCTGGTAGTCTAAGGTGGGGTTTAGGTCATATATTCTCTATATTAGGGTTTACAATAAGAACCTACAAAAGGTAGGTTCTGGTAGTCTAAGGTGGGGTTTAGGTCATATAGTCGTTTAAATTCAAACCCTAGTGCCCTGCAACTGGGTCTTTGGACCCGTAGGGCACTACACAGTGGGCAAGGTGGTGCCGCGGCGATGTGGTTAAACTCCCACAGGCTCCAAAGCACCTATATAGATGGAATGTAGGGTTTCTTTCTTAGGAACCCTTATTACGACTTGGGAAAGTATCCCAAAGTCGGCAGATGCGCGTGCCCTAGGCGCACCTCGGGGGATCCGTTACTGATGCATCCAACATCTAAGGATGCTGC